ATAAATTTGGAATTCCCCTTTCCCCAAGATCTGTGCTTAGACAGATTTTCACACACTACTCATACTTCAGGCCAATCAATCACAGTTAAATAAGTATTTAAAACTGACCTTATTGAGCAAACAATTATGACATTAATAATCCTGAATAACAATGCAAGTACAATAAGAAAAAATCCAAAATACTTTCACGTTAACACAAAGAGATCTGTTCGTTTCTTTACTGAATTACTGTTTCCTGTTCAATCCAGAATAAATAAATAATTAAATGAACATGTTAAGTGCTTGTAAGCACCCTAATACTTACAAAAAAGGAAACAGCCCCATCACCAAAATTTCTAAAAAGCCGAAAAGACCATTTATGTCCAACAAAATTAGCTTCGGGGGGGCGACGAAATTTCACAAGAAAAATGTTGCCTCTTGTTAACTGAATGGGAAAGCAAAAGGCATTCCCAATGTAATAACAATTACATTTCTGGTTCAGGTAACACATCCAAAATCAGCAAAAAATAGTTTTCCTCTAGTTAACTTACTTCATTTTCTCTTTGAATGAAAATCACTTTTGGTTGGAGAAAACATATGCCAAATTCAGCAATGTTTAGCATAGTGACCTTAATATGAGAGGTACAACCAATTCAAGTTTAGGAAAACACATGTCCCATGAAATACAGCCTTCAACCTTGCACCATAAATAAGTTACATGCACTTCAACTTTCCATGACCTTGACCCACAATTTAGCCTTGTAAATTCTTACAAACATGGCACAAAATGTGTGAGTTCACATCACATCCATCACATGGAGTGGGCAGTGTTTCAGCCATATCATCACTTTGAAGGTAATGTGTAAGAAGTACATGTATATTATTAAAATCTGTCAACAATGGACAGTACAATAAGTAGATGTACACAAGTAACATATGTTATATTTGGGATAACAGTAGATCACATACTTTGTGTACCCCTCTGACAAGTGTAAATTGGAACGACTCCCACAGCCAAAAGCTATGAATACGTTTAGAAAGTGGTCAAATGTAACATATGTTATATTTGGGATTACACTTCCTCAGTAAAGTACAGATTCTAGTACTTTTGGAGGCTCTTGTCCCATCTGTGATTCATATGCACACACTCAGAGTCAGGTATCTAATTGCCAGCACACAAAGTCAGTGATCTAACCCACTCAGCCACCGCTGAGATGTACACAGTCATACAGTTTGATTAGGTTAATTATACTAAACAGCAGAACTATCCTTAGAATGACCTTCCACTGACTCTGATCTTCCATCAAGCTAGCTCTAAACCAAACAATTTCAATGTCCTATGTACAAAATTTAATTTAAACATTTTATTTAAACAGAAATACAGCATGTGCAGTTCACAGACCAGAAACTATTCATCCTTCAGAATTCAGTAAACACTTCAATAGTCAGGCTGCTGATGAACTATTGAGGGGACACATGTCATGATTAAGCAATATGTCAAAATAATTCCCTTGAGACATTTTGGAGGAGCCTTACTAAATATTCCCCAAGATTTTCACACACTGTGAAAAAAACAAATAGTCATGGCAGTCAAGCCTAGGCTAAACATTTTAAAGCATTCACATTTAGATGGAATTCTGACCAGAAAACCCCAAATGTGACTTCCTGGCAACTGTAATGATCTCAATTAGAGAGTGAATTGAAATTTAATGTCATATGGGCATATCAATGAAGTGAACTCAAATAAACAACAGTCATGCACTGGAACATTCACAAGGAATAGCAGCTCAACTTTCCTTCAAGTACCCTCAATTATCCATTTTGGTAAAAAACGTGGACCCACTCACCACCATAGCATTCTGTGTCATAAGGATGAAATAGCCATCTAATTAAATAAGTTACCTTCATGATTGAAATAAGTGGCAAAACCACCATGGATGCATGCTCACTATTACATACATCTTATCACATAACTTCTCTTCACCTGCATTAATCTTCAGGAAAATATTCATTTTCCACCAAAAGTGTTTTCCTTACATTCTTCCCAGCCAATTACATATATCATACTCTTGACAAACTCAAGCCAAGGTGATAAAGTAGATATGTTCCTTGCAAAGTTACATGGTGTGGTGACATCACTTGCCAAAATTATCTTATGATGGCACATGGATGAAGGCTATATCGTAACCAAATGGATTAACATACACTGGATAATCAAGGATGCCCCTAATTTTTTTCAGACACATTAATAACAGAGCTTTGCAGGGAAAACATCCATATTTTATCACATGAAACTCCCCTGCACATTTAGAGTTTGTTTTTATTCAGTTACATTTAGAATTTTCACAAAGTCAGCAATATTCCTGGAATATCAATAGGGCCAAGAAATTGAAAAACAATGGATCAGTCAATTCAGTGACTGAAAGAACAAGCAACTCCACACCCTCAAGGTACAATGACACAATCAAACAGGTCATCACCTGATCCTCTTTAGTTGGTTGCAACACAAAATACTTTGGAAGTTTTCTTCGCTGGAATTTCCACAGGATTTTTGGACAAAGAAAGCTTTTATAAGTGAAAATGGTTTCAAGCAAACGACAACGAAGACCAGCTGTTTCGGAATGATTATCAATATCACTAACATATTTATCAGACATTATTGGAAGTGTCTTAACTCCCTTTCTTTTTAATGTTTTGAAATTTATCACAGATCAGCCTAGTCCAGCTCAGCACATCTTTATACAATAATCACAAATTCTACAAATGTTGCAATCAGTTGACAATCATTCTTATGTTCACACTTTCATGTCATTAGTATACTATAGCATGATACATTCCTGTTTGCGGCATTAACTGCTGTCCCCAAAAAGTGAATTAATGAACTTTTGTAGGAGAAAATAATGCCACAGCATTGTAGCTCACCTTGAACTGTAGTAAACAAATGCAAAAATAACAAAAACGACAGCCACACAACAAAATTTGCACTCAGCAATGATATTCCAACATCTAATGCAAGATATGTTATCATCATAGGCAGGAACATGCAATTTCAAAAGAGAAAACGTTAAAATAACCAAATATGAATTTTGAGCTTTTTCAAGAGCCTCTTATATATCAATGAAAGAAGTATAAAGACAGAAATAGTCACTGAACCCCATTATGAACCGTGCACATAGTAATTATCAGTCCAATTTGAAATAGCCGAGCAACATCCATGAGTAGGTTTATCAATGCGTCTGCTGTGGATTCACCAGTCCAGTTGTTTCTGGTGAGATGCTAACAGATGGCTCTGATGCGGATACCAATCAGTGGACAAGCAGGCCCTGACAAACCTCACTTGTCATTCAGTCAGGTGAGCTTAAAATCAGAAACTGGTTTACATGTAGAAATATTTTAATGAGAAAATAAATTCAATTAAACTATGCAGAAAACAGATAAGTTCTCAAGAAAAGTGCATGCATAATAAAGTGTGTTTTCACATGGATTATGTGTTTTTATCTCTGTGTATTTTTGTTTTTATGTTGTTTGTTGTGTGTGTGCATGTTTGTGAGTGTGAGTGAGAGAGAGAGAGATAGATCTCTGTATAGTAACATAAAGAAAATATTTACATTTATATGCTGTACATAACTACACAGTATCTTCTGTGGCAAGGACATTTCAGTCACACAAACAACCTTATCTGATTAAAGGAGAGCAATCAACTTCTCTTTTTTTTATTGCTAGTCTTTAAATGCTGGGAGTGTGTGTTCATTCATATTTACAACATGTAGGTATCTACACCAATGAAAGAGCACCAAATATAAATTAACATGATGAGAAGAAGATATATAGATATATAACATATTTACAACATAACAACATAGGGATGATTTCAATCATTCTTACACAAACACTCCTGAGAGGCACACTATCAACAACAGGAACAAGTCTTTAACATATCATCATGTTCACATGCACAGGATAACCATTGTGTCTACAACTATACATGTTAAAATCAACTTTGTCTTCAAAGTAATTGGAATATTTCCCCCAAGAAACAAATACTAGGGCTGAAACGGTTACCAGCATACTTTAAAACAAACTACATAAGTTAATAAGTTTTGTTTCTCCATCAAATAAACTGTTACTGGGCAAACTTACAAATTAGAACCACCTTTGCACTGAATGCCATATAACAAGTCTTTTTAGCTCAGCCTATTTTTTTTCTTGAATATTATAGACAGGAACAGTTACAGTATTCTTCAGTCTGCTAATTAGATTACCGGTACACAATTACTAATAAAGAGGCATAACTGGCTACACAGAGGGCCATACTTACTACATGACAACCCATGGCACTAGTGGCAGTCACAAATAGTACATAAAGGTCAAAGGTTGACTAAGGTGTGACAAATATCACAACACGCCATAAAATATAACATATTTTATTGTCATACCCCAAAATAATATACTTCATATGTAGTAGTGATACATGCAGAGCATGTCTGAGTATTGGGCAAACATTACCTTTTCAAGACATATAAACATTCTGTGGGCAATGTTTGGATTTAGAAAGTATCAAGTTAACGACAACCCTTCATGAGCAGTTATTACTCAGGTGAGCTAAAAAAAGAATATAGCTGTATTTTCCTAATAAATATAGTACACTGCTTCTTCCTGTTTGTCACCTTAGAAAAACTGCAAGAAAAACAAGAAAATGGAATAAATCTGGGTCATGGTATAAGTGAAATGAATACAAGCTGATATATGATTGTTTTCAAGAGGTAAAGGCCAATTTATGAGTGATAATCCTGCATATATAAACATTACATTCCAGGTATAACTCTATTTTTGTTCTTTCGTGAGTTCAGTATAGGGTGAGCATATGGCATTTTCAAAAGCATTTCAGTTGTATCTCAGCAACTTATTGTGTGAGGAATGTCTGTGGTACTCTTAATTCAAGATTACAAATCAGGGCCTTTAATCCATTTCAAATTGAAAGCAAACATGTGATGATACAATGGTAAAGTGACTGTTGTATACTACAAATACACACACTGTTATATATAACTAATCACTGAATGATATTTATCATGAACTTAAATAATATGTTACATGTTAAAGATTACAGTGAATGTTGTAAAAGTTAGACTCATCATAGAAATTAGGGCTGGGACGGGTCCAAAGTTTCTACCCGGGTTCCCCACCCCCTATTTCCATACCCTACCCGGATACCCGTTATGTTAATTCCTGACATCAAATATGCAAGAAATGGCAATATATTCTTCAGCTCGGAGGTTAAAATTTAGAGTTTTTCAATATCTTAAGCATGCATTATGTTCAAAAGTGAATGTAAATTATGTCTAACTCTTCAAAGACATTACATCCTTTAAATCATGAAAGAATAACATTTGTTACCCATCCCAGCCCTAATAGAAATCATGTACAAATCTGTGCATAAGTCAAGCACCATCAATAATGTATGAAATATTTAAACAGTGCCTAAAAGCATGTGATACTCATTTGCACCTCCACCTCATCTAAAAGTTACCTGATAAGCATTTCGAGTTGTACTAACCATTTATGAAAAATCATAATAGTTTCTGATATGTTGAACACAATTTACATTTAGGCACATGCCAAACACTTTGAGTCCTATTTCTTCTCATTCATTGACAACATGTTGCCAAATCTTCTGACAAAACACACTCTGTTTGTATCAATCACTACTGGGTGAAAACATGACATGGTCTGATGATGTTTACAACATGCCTTGCCATGGAGAAAAACAAATGGGCATGTTCTTTTAGTTCTTTTGGGTCGCTCGCTCTCCAAAAAACAACTTCTAGCCCCATGGGAAGTCTTGCCTCAATAGCAAGGACGGCAAAGGATAACAGCATTGACCAGTATTCCAGTTATATAATGGTATATTCGCTAAATGTGGGAGGAAGATCCAAAGTGACGCAGGTCTCAGACATTTAAAAGTTTGTGAAACCAAAAACCTAAGAGAAATGAACACACTAGTCAAACTGTTGAAAATGCTGGCCTACTATCCATGGACAGTTTGGGTGCTGAAACATTTTTTACATGTATCTCTTGTTATCAAAAGGTGTTCGACTTTGAAACTTCCTTGACCATAAAGCCTGTCCCATTGTTCTTCTTACAAGTAAAAAAGGTATGTGACAGTTTGAGGATGCAGCTGGTTCAAAAATTAAAATATGCAAAAAACATATTTCATGTCATTCTGTGTAAATCATATATTTGCTACATACAGAAGTTCAGCTTGGTGAGGTTATTAATTTCATTTTAATAGCATGTAAAGTCCTGTATTCCTAAACTTACTTCAAGGCACTTCAGCAGTGTAAGACAGATAACTGATTAATTAATGAGAAATGTTATACTTTGGATCTTATGTGTCCAAGTTTGCATTTACGGCAGAGAAATATATACACTTTTCAAAACAAATGGCATAACGGTGGCACAGTTAACACTATGAATATCAGTGATATCAGGACAACTTGGTCCTTCTGACCCCTCCGTAATCTACTTTTAAAATCTCTTCATAAGTTACATGCCTTGGAGAAACATACATTATTTTATTTTCAGACAGGTCAATAACTTTAATTGATGAAAACTATGCAAGCATGTTTTGGTATCCATTTCAGCCCATGTAAGTTATCATTCAAACACACTCAAAGCAAGTTTCAAACGGACTTGTCTCCCTTAATGAAAATAAATAATCCTCAAAATGTAAGAGCAAAGTGAGGCGCAGTTTCGCTCAATATAAACTGTGAAGGCAACAGTAGACTAGAAGTCTAGTAGACCAGAGATGATCATTTCAAACACTCCATCTCCTTTCTGACAGCTGTCAAAACTGAAGCTACAGTATCAAGTTGACGAGCCAGCCAACAGCAATTTGGATTGTCTTGCTTACTCCAATCCACTGTCACAAACTTGTACACATGGCAAACTATACATTTATCCATTATGCTCATTCAATCTCGGTCTCAAGGCAGTCCCCTCGTGTAAGGCGGTAGTTGGCAATCTCAGAGATTCCATGATAGTGTACAAACGCTGCTGCCACCACAAATATATGGAAGATTTGGTGGCTCTGAAACTGAAACCATAAAAAATGTTGATTGAAATCACGAATACATGTCATTCTGCAAATTACAGGGAAAATATTCACAGGCCCTTGTGTCTTTGCGAAGATTAAAGATTTAAATAAAAAAAGTTTTGAGATGACCCCCGACCCGAAATGCTGCACAATACAATACATTATGACAAGGCCGGACACTTGGGTGTACCCTACCCACTTGCTTTGCCAATCGCTACGCTACCATCGCCTACAATCAAATAAAACTTAATGTAAACATAATCATGGATGATTGGCCTATCGATCACCACTCATGGCACCCACCAATTCTTTATTGTTATTTCTGCAAGTCGATTGAAACCCGATTTTAACTCTCAACTAAACGATCTTGACACAAATGGATGACGATGTGTCCGCACAAAACGGGGGTGTGGTTGAAGCAAGCCCTCTGATTGGTCAACGCTTGCAAATCTGCACATTCTTTATAAATTCGCGGAAATTTTCCCTTTCATCGACTGCTTAATGAAAGAATATTTTTTCGAGCAATGCCTTCTAATAAGAAAGCATCAGTTGTAAATGTCACCTTAACAAGCATGAACCAACCAGAGGGCTTGCTTCGACCACATCCCCGTTTTGTGCAGACATATCGTCATCCATTTGTGACAAGATCATTTAGTTGAGAGTTAAAATCGGGTTTCAATCGACTTGCAGAAATAACAATAAAGAATTGGTGGGTGCCATAAGTGGTGATCGATCATCCATGATTATGTTTACATTAAGTTTTAATCGATTGTGTACAATGGAAGCGTAGCGATCGGCAAAGCAGGCGGGTAGGGTACACTGGAGTGTCCGGCCTTGTCATAATGTATTGTACGGTGAAGCACTTCGAGTCGGGGGTCATTTTTAAATTTTAAATATTTTTCTTAACATCTTTAATCCTCGCAAAGACACGAGTTCCTGTGAATACATTAGCCAAATAAAGTTACCATGTTTGTATGTAAGCAATTCTTTACATAAAGTATTGTTGCTTGCAAGTACCTGGAAAAACAAAGCACAGCCCCATCACTGGCATTTCCAGAAAACTCAAGGCATTTTCTACACAAGTTTAATTTTTTTAATATTGAAACATTGCACACCGATTCAACCTGCATAAATAAAGGCACATGTGCTTCCAGTTGACTGATATCCAAATTTTAAGAAATTGGTAAGACCTCTGACTACCTTATAAACATAGTTCTATCATTATGCCCTTCCAGTTAGGGAAAATGCTTTCCCTGTGAAGTAAGACTTTGGGTCCATGTAAACTATTTCAGAAATATTCTTCTCGAACATTCACAATTACTGCGTTATGAAGAGTTGAATGTAACAGGTAGGATACCCATGCACTGTCAGTCTGATAATTATACTCCTTGATAAGGTTGATGGTTTGTTATTATACATGACCAGAAATGGGTACCTATGTGGGGAATCAAACCCGGGTCTTCAGCGTGATGAGTGAACACTTTAACCACTAGGTCACCCCACTGCCCCACATGACTTAGATATAATGATAGGAGAAATCTCATCAAGAACTGTTAATCTATCAAAATAACTTGATTTTAGTCATTTCATGCTTGTTTACTGCCATTACTAGTGCTAAGCAATAGGCTCAAGGAACATGCATTCTGTCTGACTGTAGGTAGACATTAACAAATGACAACTTTCACTTGAATTGAAACAAACAAATTTTATCATTAACATTAATTCAAAGAAAACTACCTCTATTACATTTGAGCCAGTAACATTTTTTTTCAGATGTCATTACCCTAAAAAAAATCTTTGGATTCTCAAAAGAACTCTTCACTGTCAACTATCCATAATTAGTGCTTCCTTTCCAAAGGCTTATGTGCATGCTCCTTTGGGGAGCTTGAGCTGTTCGATATCCTTCTTGTGTCCCATGTAAGAAGTGCTGACCTTTCCTTATATGTAGGGGAAATCTACTATCATTGGCACTGTTGTCGGGTCATTTGCAATTCCGGATTCAAGTCTCCACTGTTGGAATCTTTTCCACTTGAAATCATACAGTCTGACTTACTGTGTAACAGCTGAGGATATCTCTTGAGAAAAACCTGCTGTTGTGAGGTGTCATTGAATAGATTCCAAAGGTGAAGGTGCTCTGGATTGAGGTGAAATCTTTCTAAATTCATTTTCCTGAGTTGAGTTGGCAATGGGGGCAGTCGCAGAGGCTGATCCACTACTCGAAATAGCAGGTCCGACAAACTAAGGGTGTGTGGACCATGCCGGAGCCACTAAGTAGAGAGTCATACGATGATTCCTCACCTTGGCCAGAACTTAGGCGTTCATCGCTGTTAGTGGAAACGCATATCCTGTCATGGAGTGTACGGAAATGGACTTATTGTCTGAGATTATACAGTGTGTGCTGATTCTCTATACTCAGTAAGCAACTGAAGTTTTTTCATGGCAACTGTAGAAGAATCCTCAGCAGCAAAATGCCTTACATGTAGGAAGGGAAATAACATCGACTAAACTATTACAGCTTTCACACAGAAGTGAAGAACCATCAAGTTTCATTGTAAACTACATGAAATAAAATTCTGAAGTTATTACAGTAAAACTAAATAACATCCAATGACAACTCTGAACCTCACTCATGCACCAGAGGCGTGGAGGGAGATATCAACAGTGTCTCCAACAGTAATGGATAGTTGATGGTCAAGAGGATATCTGTCAAAAAATCACAATATTTCTGGCACTGATGTTATAGAGGTATTTTGTTTGTAGTAATCCTGAATGATATTAGTATATTTAAGAGACACAACATACTGCAATTACTTTGATTATACATACAAACAAAATGAGCTTCTTCTATATGCGTGACACCTGTTCTTGGTAACCAATCAATTATCTGTCCTCAGGTTGCAATGCTTATCCCTATCTGCAGCTTGTCTTATTGGGAACCTGCGACATATTATGTCTGGAGAGGACTATAATCTACTCTAACATGAAGATGAGTGAGCGAGTGGATGATGTAACCATTGTTAATGACTTAACTGGCACGTGAACAGCAGCCTAGCATTGGAAATACCGTAACCATCTCTGAAGGTGTATTCAATTATGGATTGGCATGGCTCAAAAGCATAGTAGCCATGATTTGCATCTATTCTGGGACTGACACCCAGTTTAACACCATACAGTCCATAAGATATGTAACTGCCTCCAGCACAGAATCATATAGTCAGAACAAATAGACATTGTCCTTGGATGGAGAAGACATATGGGCTGGAGCATGTCTCTTCCTAACAAATGCATAAAACTAATACTCAGCACACTACCTCTACTAGCTAGTTTCTGTAAACTCTTTTGCTCGCCAAACAGCAAGTATTCTCTTGTGCAATTTGATTGATGAAGGGCAGTTAACTCTGATTGGTAAAAAATAATGTACTTTTTTCTATCAGTTATATGTATGCCCATTTACCCATCCCACTCCCCAAACACACACACACAAAATTTAAAAGACAGGTTCCAGGAAAAAAAAGTAAATAATTACACCATGTGTTAGTTGCTTACCCATATGTCAAATTTTCCAGGAAATATCCTTTCAGGTATTCTCAGAGCATAAATGAATGCACCTGCTATGTACAGCAATGCCATCAGACACAGCCAACCAAGGGCAGCAAAGTTGATGGCATGGTAGAAACCGTCGGTGATAACATAATGCAGCGCAGGAATTACTCCACTTAGACCAAGGCCGACAAACACACCTACAGAGGAAAGAACATCCATTATTAAAAAAGATCAAAGATATTAGCATTTTATGCAAAATGATTAAGCAGATCCATCCTTTCCTGAATGACTAAATGGATTAATATTATATATGATATTAATATCATCTAATCAGGTAGCAGCTCAGCTGATAACATTCCATATTCATTTTGATCCCTAATGATGTCTAATGCAGTACAATTTAATCTTATGCATCTAGTTACTAATAACAAGCACTTCAGTTAAATTAAATAAAAAATTTAGAAACAGTTGCTACCTAAAAACACAAAAAGTCTACCATGGCTAGAAGTACATCCTTTTCCCTGGATTACTGCACATGGGGGTCCATGCAAATGATTTGTGTGGCTCCTCAATCAAAGTAGACAATACCCCAGATATATTCCATAAACATACTTCAAACATTGTCACTCATGGTTAAAGTTTTATGGATGAAAGAATATGTATGGATCATTCCATAAAATCAGTTAAGGACAGATGTAAATAAAATTCTCAAAAAGTGGCATAACAAGCTTTTCAGGCTTCAATAACATAAATTCAACACATTAGTGTGTAATTTAATCATCATTTACTTTTGAAACTACACATGTCATGGCCAGTCAATAAATGATGTTTATGCATTTATTTTTCAACAAAACTGTAATGCCTGTCCAAACCATGTTTCTAAAAGAATCAAGTTCCATGTTGGCACCTGCGGTCCTTTAACCAGCAAATTGCATTATTAACAAACACGCCTGTAAGTGAGTTTAGTTTTACACTGCTTTTAGCAATACTGCCAATATCATGGCAGGGGACACAAGAAATTGGCTTCACACAGCTTATAACTAACTGACTGATATAACGAACTACCTGGTATTGTTTTTGGTACTGGCCTCTTAATCTTTTATTCGAAATAGGTATAACAAACTAGAGTCTGTCTTTGTGTTTGTTACAATCACAGTTTACTGATACCAGTTGAATGTCACATTCTACCATGACTTCAGTAAATACTGGATAGTGATTGGTTAATTAAAGTCATTCAGAGGTATATAACCACATTATATACCAACACAGTATGTATCGTTTTAAAATCTTAATAACGCGGTTATGGTAGAATGGAGATAAACATACTGTGTTGGAAAATCAGAGGTATAAACCAAAAATATAATAGATCTAAATTTTTTATTTAAAACTCCACGCTATGCGTTCATTTTTAAATCAAATTTAGAGCTATTATAATTTCATTATATACCTCTGATTTTCCAACACAGTATGTTTATCTCCTAATTATCCAACTTCTGCATGTTGTTTACTAGTCACTGAAAGTCACACGCGACAACACAAGTAAACTTCAATTCAATCAAATGTCTGTTTTTCTATCAATTAAATATTTGAAAACTGAAACAAGATGATTTTGTTGCAAGAGAATCACTCAGGTTTATGTGGTTATATCTGCCCCTCAGCAGGTTCTATACTGTAAGCCAAATGGGCTCTACATAAGGTCTAGAACTGACTCATGTTCACTGGGAATTGTCAAGGCTGGCAATTGACAAAAAGATCTAGCTGAGGAGTGTCCCACATCAATCTTATCCACTCAAATAATTCTGGATTGTGAGACCCTTTTATTGCTCCTATCCTGATCCTCTGGGAATGACGCTCTGTCTCTATGTGTTGTCTGTAGCCACCAGGATCAAAGATGCTTCCATGTGACTGTCTTGAGGACAAGGTGGAAGTTTCTCATTTCAAGAGAATAGTTGTAAAGATCCTTCTGATCAGACGGCAAGTTTACCATGCCTTTCAATCCATTCAAATGTGCTTACCATTTTGTGCTGGATGTGTCTGCAAACAGGTGGTGTTCATGTGTGAACATTCATTGAGTGAGTCTTTACATTCATTTGTTGATTCCATCAATTCAATTATACCCTCAGATTTGGTGAGAACCTCACCCAGTATCTAGTGCCTTTAGTGCATCTAGTAACAATATGAACCAGAAACCCATGGTGTGAGCCGTTGAAAGGAGGATTTTGCTTGAGCTGACTCCTGTCTTGATCTGCTGAAAGAAGTCTTCTGTACATCTGTGGAATCCAAGGCTGTGACCTGAGTGAACAACTAAGGAGCTATCAATACACTGAATGGAAGGACTTGAAATGTGTAATGATGTTCACTCAGGGCAAAGGGAACTACTTCCGAAATCCCAGATGAATGGGAGAATGAAGACAGGCAGAAGCCTGGGGATTCAAACTGATTAACCAGTCTCCAATCCTGAGTGGGGTTTCTTCAGGGATACATGACTAGATGAATGGGACACATTTAAGTCTAAAATCATTCCCATGTGTGTTGTTTGTTTTTTGGGTATTGGCAGGGATGAAAAGCTGATAGTGAGAAGTGTGGGCATCCATAGTAGCACTATTGTCTGGTAACATTCATAGGCCACATCAACAAATGAAAATATTCAATCGGCTGCTTGAAATGTAACTTGTATTTGCCTCAGACAACTGGGAATAGAACAGATAGATTTCTGGCTTAGTTTACTGGACAATACGCCAGCTAATCATAATCTCTGCACATACAGAAGTTTTACTGCCCAAGTTTTCTTATACACATTATTTGACACCTGAATTCTCTAAAAGGATATGATGTAGTTTTGTGTCCAAAAGTAGAATTTGTTTAAAAAAATACTGAATCCTTCAGAAGGGTGTGTGCATTATACTTGGATGAGCACTTCACTTAAGAAATGTATTGTAGCTACATTTGGTTGTGGAGGAAGTTTGCCATCTTGGAGGTGAGGTGAAATTGGGTTTAACGTCGTGCTTAAGAATATTTCGCTCATATGACGACGTGCATGCGTGTGTATGCGTATGTGCGGCTGCTTGTACTAGCCCAGACTTAAGCTGGTTTTATAGTGCTAGCTCACTGAGATACCATGCCGCAGTGAAGCATGAATACCCCACTCAGACACATTATACTGACTCCGAGCTGACCAGTCCTTGTTGTACCCATTAATGCCGAGCATCAGGCAGGGACCAACAAGTACCATATTTTAACGTCTTTTGGTATGACGCGGTCGGTTGGTATGGTTGTCTCAAAGTAAAAGCCAACGAAGCCAAGCTTGGTCCAAGTGTTTTTGAACATTGAATAACTCAAAGTATTTACATTGTTCCCTTCAACTTCACCACAACAGTGTTTGACTGTATGATATCTTGCATCTCAATAAGACATCTTTATGTTGATGTTGAGGATGGCAACTGAATCTTTCCTATCAGACTGACTGACTGAATGAGTTTGGTTTTACGCCGCTTTTAGCAATATTCCAGCAACATCACGGCGGGGGACACTAGAAATGCTTTCCTATCAGAGATACTGGATATTCTTATGTAATATTATAGGGAGATTTAGCCAAGGTATTATATATCTTAATACAAAGATCTGATTTAGGTTGAACATTATCCAGCTGACATTATTTAGGTTTGGGTGATAACGATATGTCTTTCCATTTTTTTGTAAATATGACTTTCATGTCTATAACTATTCTTGCTTGCCCCTCATTTTAGACTGTATTGTTTTCACAAGCCCATTATACTTGTATTAAGGATACTGAGGAAGCAAAATTAAACTTTACATGACCACAAATATAATGTAATTTAAATTCAGAAGGGGAGCCAAGGGATCTGCAGTGCCTTAGATCACTAAGCTTCCCATAAAAATACTACCGTATATGACCATCTATAAGCCGAATTTTGAGGACCAAAAAAAGCAGTCTGTAGAAGGGGGTCGTCTTATCCATGGGTTACGCTTTCGTCAAACTTTTTTCCAGGGGTAAGAAAACAACATCGTATCACTTCGCGTGAACAAACAACAGAAGACGACTTTGTCAGTAAAGACGTCAAATTTGCAATTAAACATCACTAGACAAGATTAATTACCTTTTAAGTTATAAGTTGTGTTTGCTGGGCATTGTTTTATTTGCAGGGATTAAGATTACCGTGCGTATTTGTCTCGTACACAAAGCCGGAAATAGCAATTAGCTGTGCACACGTTTCCCGGCGAAAAAGTTCAAACATGCACAATAATATAACGGGACGAATTCTGACGCAGTCATCAGTAAAATATAATACAGAATACCGTTATTTAACCCAAAGAAATATATCCTAGCTTTGTGTAATTTTAGTTACAGTTTTTGCTCTATAAATTAATTAAGATTACCGTGCGTATTTGTCTCGTACACAAAGCCGGAAATAGCCATCAGCTGTGCACACGTTTCCCCGCGAACAAGTTCAAACATGCACAATAATATAACGGGATGAATTCTATTGATTGAATACTATTATTTAACCCAAAGAAATATATCCTAGCATTGTGTAATAGTTTTTATGTAAAAATATATAATCAACACTAAGGTTATACGGACCCTCATGAACGTGGTAAGCACGTGACATGGAATGGGGTAAAATACGGAAGCCATTTAAATTCACACATTTTTACCGATGTTATTGTAAACTAGCAGTCAATGGAAAACGAGGCGGTAATCAGTTGGTGATTGTTGAATGGGGTAAAATAAGCAAGCCAGTTTGTTGCTACAATAAATATGATATTTAGAGAATCTATATTATGCATTTTATGTCAACTACACTTCGTTTCGATCCGTGAGTAGACACAATATATATGACAGTGAATTCTTTGAATAATGTGGACCAAAGCTATAATTATTGGTAACTGCCAGTTGTCTGTGGTCTGTGTTTGCCGCGATTAGGACCCCATCGTGGGGGGTCGTCTTATGCACGAAACATACCATTTTGACACTGATTTTAAGGGTCAAGTTGGGGGGTCGTCTTATCCATGGGGTCGTCTTATACACGGTCATATACGGTAATAGTTTGGTATTGTATAAACCAGCATTGCATAAAAGGTATTTTGCAATGTGATTCCATCCTCACCTGCTCTTACAGGACGGTATCCCGGTTGACTGAACTTGTCCCACATGGCAACGACTATACACATGATGCCCAAAACAAAAATCAAGACAAGGTAAGCCACCTTGGGCTCAGTACGACAGTAGAAGCTGTAGTAAAGCCATGGCACAAAGGAACCCATTGTCAGGAGGGCAATTCCACAGTAATCCAACCTGAAACACACAGTAGGGTTTCTAATTAAAGCAAGTAGCATTAACTAAATGTTTCAAAATATGTCACCTAAGTGGACATTCAAATATTTTCTGCATGAAAAGTAAACATCATACAAAAACAAAATATCAAAATGGCTACCACTTCAGCTATATCGAAAAAGCTAAATACATGTATAGCAGAAGCTGAACCATTTCTGCGCAAATGTATTGTAATACCCTGGCATGGGATAGCATGTTGACTGTTCCATGTGCTTTTAGGTCATGCATGAAATAAATTCCAAGAGTGATGTCATACCTGATACTTAAACATAAACAATGGAGCTCCACACAGTGAAGCACACAACCCATGTGCTGGCTTCAACCATGTTTTCCTATTGGAGGCAAACTGACATAAAAGCTCTTGTGTTTTTAGAGACTAAAAGCGAATGTTTATCAAAGCCTGAATTACACTATAGACATTCATGTACCATGTCATACGAAGCCAGTCACTTTCTTACCATGAGTTCTTTTGCCAAGTACTTCTTTTATATTTATCTGTTATACTGTCATCACAATAACATACACTATAAAATTGATAAATTCACTAAAATGTGGATAACTATTTTTATTTGCGTGTATTTCCTACATATACTGTCATTTATGCCCTAGCGATGCAGTCACTTTCATGTATAAAGACCTTCACTGTCGCAATTGAAGTACCAGATCCATATTATCATGCAAAACAATAAGTATAGCACACAGAAAAGCTTACTCTTGGCTGTTCTGTTCTTATTTTAGAATATACACATTTGTTTACAAACATGAAGACAGCTGATGATGTCATGTGATAATCCCACTTGTGTGATGAGGTCACTAGACCAGAAACTTTTTCTGGACTCAGGCAAGGATGCTCCAGAATGATCAATGCGCTGTCCCCACAGTAAGACAAGATCAAGATGTCTATTTAGAGTTAATTTCAAATTTCACATTTTCATTTCAACAAACTTAAAATTTCCTGGTCATTAGCCTGAAAATATATGATGCAGTGTTTTAATATTGGCCCTATAAATTCAAAATACAAATATATATCATTAGTCAAAACATCTCTATTCAACTCTTTGACCTGCTTTAGGTGGGCTACCAGGCTGTCCAGGAATGGGAGCAGTGGAGTGTTTTCGGGCGAAGGGTTCAAAAGAGAGGCCTGAAACTTTGTTTACAGTTCGTTTCCACTCAACTGTCGATCATAAGAAAGAGATAGGATAAGTTTAAAAATTGCCTTATTTTCTAATGAAGTATAAAGCGCACCCAAATAGTATCCCTTCAGCAAATTCATGTACAAATGAACACATAGAGAAGCTTACATGCAACCCAAAACACAACTTTGCAGATTCTGATACCTTTAGGTATGGACTTGCAGTAACAATTATCAATAATGCAAATTCAACTTATAAAATTGAAAAATAATGCGCTGAAAAACATCCCACGAAATCGGAGTGCATATGACTCACTAAAAAACCCCAGCTGGGGTGAAAAGTGGTTTCAACAGCTCTGCTGCGCTGTGCACATAACGCATGCGCAGTGAATAGGTTCACACGGTTTGAACTGGGATGCCCGGATTATAAGGTCGTGAGCAGAAGTAGTCCAATCTTGGTTGTGTACACAAAGAACAAATAGTAAATAATCTACTTGTTACATAAAGGAACCTTGTTAAGGATCTAGATCTACTCAGATTTGTGTCAACCAGTAAGCGTTCGACATTTCTAATGTTTTGTTTCACAGGCATGAGCTTTTTATATGTTATGAGAGTAGATTACCGATTTAACTGTGTACATAATTTCATTTGACTATTTCACCACACATTCTTCTTACCGAGTTACTTTCTCAGTTCGACACTTAACAGCAACTTCATTATTTAGCATTGTCAGAATTTCTAACTGTGACATAGATATGCTTCTGTCACAGACAAAACTCAATGTCTATTTTATTAACACCTATGTGTCTGCCTGCCTGTCTGTTAATGACAATATGCAATACACAACTTCACGCCCACCCGCTTTGACTGGGTTCGGTATCCTGGGTGCTTCGTTTCGAGGGAAGTAAACCCAAGTACAAAATATTGCACTTTTGATTTGCGATTGTCGCTTATAATTTTGTTTATTTGTTTTTTTCATAATCAGCCATGTACACTCACATGCCAAAAGTTTGTCAACTTTATCAAAATGGCTGCCGGTCTCCTAAGCGCTAAGTCCAATTTTAAATATTAATATCTTACCTTATAGTAGTCCAATAAAGTTAATACTTAGTGATGTGACCCTTTGATATTAGAACTTGTCGACAGCGATGTGGAAGAGATGAATAAAGCGAATGGATGTATGCAATTGGCAGTTTTTCCCAGGCAGTCGTAAGCGCTTCCTTGAGGTCATCCGTGGTCCTCACATATGCAATGGTTTTTTTTCGCAGTGTTCTTCAGGACAAGCCACTCATTTTCAATTGGATTTAAATTTGAAAATTTTAATATAAATTGTATATTTATATACTTATCCTATCTCATTATGCACTTCTCTCTCTTGATTTGACACTGAGTGGAACGATGTAAACTTTTTTCCCAAGGCCTCTCTTGTCTGTCCGCCCATGCACTCAGTGCCACCCTCATTATAAGACAGCTTCCTAGCTCTCATGCAAAGCATGCGGCATGCACCACTAGCTGTCCACGTGACTATCCCTGAATCATCATTCTCATTCTTGGAGCCACTAGACAATATCCCTCTTGGAGAATCTGCATAGCGGGGAGGATTGGCGGGAATCCGTCGCGTGAGATAGGATAAGTATATAAATATACAATTTATATTAAAATTTTCAAATTTTTAAACTTATCCTATCTCACGGTATGCACTTATCCCACGGTCGGACGGCGGGACACAGATACCCTGTGTCTTGACTGTGCGAACAGCAGGAACTGTGTAGACTGGAAACGACCGTAGATAGTGATGCACAAGGGAGGCCTGTTACGCATGCACGCAACTCCTATGCTTGTGCTTAGTTCTCTTGAACTCCTTGGCTTACTAAGCACAACGTCTCCCAGGGAGATGGGTGCTCCCGAGCAATGTGGTGTTCGACCGCAACCTCCGAAGAAGGGCGCAGCTCAGCGAGAAAGGATGTCACTTCGCCACGATTTTCAAGGTACCCCCCGGTTGACAATAATCGGGCCAGCCCCTGCTTCGAGAAGACCCCCATAGACACCAACCAGGGGCGGGTGAAAGAGAAGCACAACTCAGGAACTCCAAGTTTTGACAGCATCAAATTGACCCTCACTCCTTTGCATAAGTCAAAGGATGTGCCCGGCAACTTCGGAGTCGGAACGCAACGAAATCCACTGGAATTCGGGAGTGTCACACTTCACTGACGTAATTGCTCCGTGGAGTAGAGGACAGTAAGCGTGAATGTTGAACACCTCTGCATCGCCGTCTTCCGATGCCTTGGTATGGAGGCCAAGTGAAGTAGTTCTTAAACCCATAACTTGAGAACAATGATTGAGATCCTGTTCAACTTTGTTACGTATGTAGAAAGAAGCAGTAACGCGCAAGCGGAACTGTCCCTCAACTGCGTTGGTGGGCTGATGTAAGCTGCCGAGGTCCGAACTAGTGTAGTCCCAGGAGAGAACTAGTGTAGTCTCGCAGTTAAGGTGAAGAGAAGACTATATCTGAATGCCAGAAGCAACCTTCCATGAGAGCGGTCAAGGAGTAGTTGCTACAGAAGGCCATCATTGAGGCTAATGCAAGAGTCTCATGAGGATTGCCGGTGGCAACCCTGCAAGGTGGAGGCTCACAGGATCGCGCCACGCATTCAGAAAATCAATGTGGCTCGGGAAACCTCAGTTCTTGAAGCAGCCGACAAGGGTATGAAGAGGCGCTTTTGGAGCCATTGACGATCCTTTGAGGCAGCAAGGTAAAGGTGTAGAGCCCTAACAGGGCAGAGTGTCAAATCTTCAGTATCATCAGGTCCAAAAAATGGACAACAGGGGAATGGTAAACATCCGACCCGGTTGCCCTGGCAGTTTGTTTTTCACGATGAAGTCCCAGGATAAAAACCTTGCCATGCTTCTTCCGCTCTAACCGCACGCGATTGACAACAAGCGCGGGAAGCTCAGATATACGAGCAGCAGTACCCGTGCTACCAGGAAGAAGAAAGTCAGAGGCAGATTGGGAGATGGATTTCCCTAATGTTACAACAGCCTTCAAACTTCTTCCACTATCGTCGTAGAAAGAACGGGTCGAATTACGATGAACTGAAGTGATAGCTGTGGCTACTTGACGAGAGTAGCCTTAGCTATGAGTAATCTCTGGAGATGCACCAAGTGTAGATTAAGGGTCTGAGGGGACCAGAGGCGTAGTTCCGGGTGAGGGTGACAAAGCAGGTCCCCCCCGGGCGGGAAGTGGTACTGGGTTTGGCTCTGCCAGGCTTCTTAGGTCAACAAACTAACTTCTCGCTGGTCAGGACTTAGTGCACGACCAAAAGCAGTGGAATCTTGTTGGTGGTCAACAGAGTCTGTATTACAGATGAACTCCAGAAATGGGCTTCACACATTATACCCATGTGGGGATTCATACCGGGTCTTCGTCATGACGGGTTCGGGAAGATGAATCAGTTCCTTGGGAAGTTGAATTCTGTACATTAGGGCTTGATCTGATGTCAGAATGCCTAGTAGCTCCTGCCACTGAGATAGCACTGGAGCAACACATAGCCAGATCTTCATCCACCTGTCTTGAAGGGCGAACATCATCCCTTGACTGTTGTCAAACAATGGATCGATGAAGTGGGGTCTCTGGATCGATGTTAGTGTCGATTCCACAATGTACAAGAGCCACCTTAACTGCCGGAGCAACATGGTGGTGAACTGCAGTTGGCGAAGAAGTACGAATGAATCCTGTTGTGCCTGGATGCAATCATCAACGCTGATCTCTGTAAGGGAAGGTTAGTGCTGAGGTAAGGAGACCTAGCAACTCTTGTCACTGATGTAGGGA